TACTTGCGAATTTCTGCGGATACTTGATATAAAATTAAAAAGTTTAAATATTGTAATAACATACAATGAGAGTTCATATGTCCTAGTACGATATTATGTCAAGATCGAACGACTTCTTATCGTACGAGCGTGCAGGACCCTATCAATTTGTACTAGTAGTAGTTTAAGGAACAGAATGATATAATAATAAAAGATCACCTCAAGATCTTGTCTCAAATTAGACACGATCTTGCTATAATCCTGCCGCGATCCCGTCACTGTCTTGAAACATAAATGGAACGGGATCGCATAACGAACTTGATGAAGAACGCGATTCCAATATAAGATCACGATTTTATTTTGCCAAGGTCAGCATTTTTTCGTTACACGGGAAAAAATCGGGTTCGCGATCAGATTTCAGCAAGAATGGAACGGGAATATCACTAGGGTAAGCGAACCCAAGACTGTAAATTAATTGTGCAGCAGTTTCATGACTTTGTTTCATATTTGATCAGGAGGCGAAATTAATTTAAACGCTTTTTGTTTAAATCCATTCAAATTCATGGATGTTCCAAAATGTTTTACATTATTTGGCATTTCTAATATGAAACAGATAGAGCATGTGTATGTATGTTGATGGTTAGCTGTTTTTCATTACACATATTTCGATTTTGAATTTGAATTCGTGTTTTAATACATGATGTTGGTGAAGATTCATTTCGACATTGGAATGATAAATTATATGCAATTTTCATTTTCTTTTGGAAACATTATTATTTGATTCCAGGAAAAAACTGTGATAAAAACTGTGCATGTGTCGTCGTATGCGATGGTCACCAAAAGCGAAATGGACCCGTATGTTCTTTCAATAACGTTTATGATACAACTGCACCAGAATTAGCACCGGTTCTTATTAGTTGTATGGAAATCCCGTGTCGACCGAACGATCATGAACTTATTTAACCGAATTTGTTCTCTTTTTGTATTTAGAATATAGCAAGAAATATTTTTTCAAAGATCATCAACCACAGTCAGATATTCAAGAGACTCAGTAGCATCGACAACATCAGTACGAAATGAACATGAAACATCGTCAACACAATCAATATTATCATCATTGTTATTGAAGAAACATTCACAGCAGTAATGTTAAAAACAGCTACAATTGTATTTTTAAATACCAACGTTACCTACATTCTATGTTTTATAAGCAACGAATATGCTTCTGTAGTACTAACATATAACGCTGTAACAGTGACTCGCCCGGCAATAAGTCTATTTCCCAAAGTTGCGCTCTTCTGCATTACTCATGACCACTGAACAACATCATTAGTCCGCGATCCAGAGCTAATCAGTTCTGACCTAGCTTTCGAGATCTTAGCTCCATCCCACGAACTGAATAAATGCACTACTCTCATTCGAGTCTCATCCTGAATGAAGGGAATTCGGTCCAGCTAGTATAACTCCAGTATGTCGTCAGCGCTTTAACTCATGTTGAACAATTCAACAAACACAGACCATAATCACACATAACAACACACAAAGAAACAGGAAAACTTCCACAAAAAAACAAAATCACGCTGCGTCTGAAATATACTAGACAACGACTCTCCCATTGCTTCACCCAGTCTACCGGATATTAGGTAAGCTTAAGTCGAGTGAGAGTGTTATTTACTTTCAGTGCTTCTGCTAGTGCTTCACCTCCTCTATAGGATATTTGGTTCTCTGCAAGATCAAGTTGAGTGAGAGTGTTGTTTACTTTCAGTGCTTCTGTTAGTGCTTCACCTCCTCTATCGGATATTCGGTTGCTCCAAAGATCAAGTTGAGTGAGAGTGTTGTTTACGTTCAGTGCTTCTGCTAGTGCTTCACCTCCTCTATCGGATATTTGATTGCTTGTAAGATCAAGTTGAGTGAGAGTGTTGTTCACTTTCAGTGCTTCTGCTAGTGCTTCACCTCCTCTATAGGATATTTGGTTCTCTGCAAGATCAGGTTGAGTGAGAATGTTGTTTACTTTCAGTGCTTCTGCTAGTGCTTCACCTCCTCTATCGGATATTCGGTTGCTCCAAAGATCAAGTTGAGTGAGAGTGTTGTTTACGTTCAGTGCTTCTGCTAGTGCTTCACCTCCTCTGACGGATATTTGATTGCTTGTAAGATCAAGTTGAGTGAGAGTGTTGTTTACTTTCAGTGCTTCTGCTAGTGCTTCACCTCCTCTATAGGATATTTGGTTCTCTGCAAGATCAAGTTGAGTGAGAGTGTTCTTTACTTTCAGTGCTTCTGCTAGTGCTTCACCTCCTTTATCGGATATTCGGTTGTGTCCAAGATCAAGCTGGGTGAGAGTGTTGTTTACTTTCAGATCGTTTGCAAGTAGGCAAACGGTCGTGGCTTGTTCAGAAGAATTACGAGCCCTCGTATCCTGGTGGTCGCTGAGCTCCATAATCAGTCTTAGGGACGACAGTTGTGTCATACATGAGAAGTGCGGCAACACGACTTTGAGCACTTGTTCTGCTTTGACGTCGAACAAGGATAAAGAGCGAAGATTTACCAGTGTGTTCTTGAGAAAGTGGGTGAAGAACAAGTCAAGATAATCGGATGTGTCTTTAGACAGATGCAGGGACCGAATTTGTGCTGTTGATGGCAAGTGTTCGGAGATAAAGTCACACCTGGATTTGCTGATGCGTTGAAAGTTCAGATCAAAGTGTAGGCTGCCGAGTAGTCCATCGAAACGGTCGCTTAATCGGAGGAATGAGTGGAGAATATCATAAGCATGTAAACATTCAAAGATTTCAAGCATCACTTCATTCGCAAGCGATTGAAATTGTGTCACATCTAAACAAATATGCATTATCAAGAGTTTGAATTCTTGATCTCTCTTGTATGAAGAGAGCCGCTGAAGTGTAAAGGAGGGACAATGGCAAGGTTGATACTCACTCTCGAAGATGGATAGCAGTGTCACGTCGAGTGATGGTTCTTGCGAGTATTAGGCACGGTTCCATCCTCCCAGTCGGATATGGATGGATGGCCAGCCATCAGGAGTTTAGTATGGTCTTGACCATGGATATCATATCTCTCTCCACTATTCTCAACACATTGCAATCATTAGGTTTGTATGTGCGGCAATGAATGTAGTTGAAAAACATATGATCAACTTACCATTCGGTGCTTGCTTCAAACATTGATCGTTGCCACAAGTACTGAGCAATCGGTCTGATAAGTCATGTTGCATCTCTCTTTGGGATATGAAATCAACGTTTGTATTAATTCTGCTGTCAGTTGTAACCAGAGGACTGAATTGACGTGATGTTTTTACCGACATCGTTTAAGTGTTTTCATGATAATATCATTGCTTTATGTTTTTCTTTACTGTCACCAAGACTCAATAGAAACGAAACTCGTTGTTTGAGTGTGACGTAACAGATAAGGAGAAAACAGCTCTGACAGAGCATATCTTCTGTGCAGAGGGACATGCCTTAGAATGTGATTGGGCGACGAAGGGAATATGGCCTCTCCTGGGTCGAGATAGTCTCTAGCAAACGTTAAGCGCAGAACGTAAAAAGTGACACAAAATCGGTTGATTGATAGCCTTGTACCTAAGTTATGTCACTCATATCTTGAGCAGTATATCTATGCTCATAGGAGATGTGCACGGATACCGTTTTTCTACCCGGTTCCCGATGCGAAAACGTTCTTCGCCCATACCGGACTGTTACGTTCTCAAGTAACTCTTTTAAAACGTCCGGTTTACGGGTATAGTACACGTAACTAAAAATGAAGCATCCGCTTAAGGAATTCATTTATCTCTATGTATATTTTATTTTATTTTTAGATTTCGTGTTGTCGACATTATTAGGAAATCAGAGCACTCGTCTGACACAATCATCACAATTGCCATCAGTAGCACTAACAGTCAAAGCAACACACTCAAGCATAACGGTTGGTTCGGCTCAGTCATTGTCGTCATCAACAAGAACTACCCTAATGGAACTCCTTGTACCAAGATCTTGAAAATTCTTGAATCATCGTTTTGTTTTACACTCTTGTGTAATATATATTTTCACACTTAGAATAACTTCGAATTTTTTTTCCATCTTGGCCTTAGTTGTTTAAGGAAGAACCCATGATTCTATATGGGCGTGTATCTGATGGCTATGACTGTCATAAATAAAAACAAAATGTACAGAAAACTTTTCACTTAAGATCTTGCAACATCTTGAATAGATTCACTCAAGATCTAGAAATTTCTGTTCCCGAGATCTTCAGCGGAAGAATCAAGAATTCAAAATCTTGACTTCTTGATGTTTTCCCCAAGACCTTGGACAATATCTTTGGTAATAAGTTAAGTAGTAAGTTTCACTACTGTAGTGTGACAAAACAGCTATCGGACGAATAATTAGATCAGTTTTGTGATTCAGCCTGTATGTATACGTTCAGTAAAACAGCCGACCCTTCGGTTGCTATTGAATCAGATAAATCAATAGCATAACCCAGTGGAAGTTTTTAAAGCCTACAAAGAAAGATCTTGGACGATGGTGCTACGAAATGGCAGGATAATATTAGGACGTAGAACGACATTTTGAAGGTGCACATAGACTTTATAATATGCTCCACCTACTATTTCAGCATCTAAAACTGAACAAGTTCAAAGAAAATTGTCTTTTTATCGTGAAATGAAGGTTTTACAAAAATAATTTTTGGGATGTGGGCTTTTGTCCGTGCTTTGCCTCGAACACGCGGATTTGTAGTGTATATATTTTCTAAAGTTTTTAACTGCTCTTTAGGAATATGTTAGGTGACCGAGTATGCTCTCTTGGAATGGCTTCTGCACTGTTCTGCAGCGATTTTCTCCGGGGATGTTTGAGTTTGTAGAAATTCCTCGACGAATTTCCAGCTTTCTCGGAAATGTTGATTTTCTACTTTATAGAAAATCGACTTGATTTTCCAAAAAATTCGATTTTCTATAAAGGTGGAGAATGGCCGAGAATTGTCTATAAACTGAAAAGTCGCCGGCTATTTTCTAATTTATAGAAAATCAATCGAATTTCCATAAATAGTTTCCAAGAATATGAAAATCCACAGCGATTTTCCAGAAAATGAAAATTCGCCCAGGCATTCCTAGACCAAATAGTTATTCATCTTTTTGTTTTGCAATCAGTGTAGACATAAGAGCGTGTAACACTCATATTACACTTAAATCAAAATTTGCTTAGTAAACGGATTGGATTTGGTTGCCGTTTAGCAACACGATAGGACAATTTGACCAGACAAATTATACAGAATGAATAAGATGGTGTATGTTTTCATACAGAAATGGTAAAGATGCACTACGCCACTTACTTGGCTTTTATTTTTCACTCGATCGAACATTAGCTATGTATGAATATCGCGTATTAGGAAAACGGTAAGAGTCTAGTATATATGAGAACAGAGATGGGCAACTGCAACTCCGGAGTTGAGCTTCTTTTTAGTGGAGTCGAAGTTGAGTTGGAATTTCGTTTTTATTAGATTAGACTTGAGTTGAGTTCAGATTTTTTCAACTCCAACTCCACAACTCCAGTTGAAAATTTTTGCAACTCTGAAAACTTTTTTGTTTTTGTTACGCCACATAAAAGCAATATTAACATGTGTTCAACGTTTATATATTCTGAATATGTTAAACTTAAGTGTAAACAAAAGCGAAATAAACAACTAATAAAATAAAGAAGAAAATGAATCAAGACGAAATAAGTTCCTATTGGAGTTGAAACGGAGTTGGAGTTGGGATCTGCGGAGTTGGAGTTGGAGTTGAGCTTAGCCGGAGTTGCCCATCTCTGTATCAGACGATAAATCTTGAAATATCTTTCTATTATAGTCCAAACGCTTTGCCATCGATTTGTCGTGGTCAGTATTGCCACTCATCCGGGTATAATCAAGGACAACCATACACGTTGTTTGATCTATACAATGTATGTCTGTATTTCATTTGCTCTACCATGAAAAAAAAATATAATAAATTTTCTATCGTATTCTTTTAATATCTCATTATTCTGCATTATATTGTGAAAATATTTTTATTACAAGACGCCGAAATTAAATTTGAAACAAGATCAATTACATCATTACTAGAAAATATTCGTTCTAAACCTATTATTAAATTTAATATAATATCAATTGATGAATTAGATAAAGAAACATTGTTGTACGTATTTGCCTTATACTTTTTATCTCTATCTTCACTCCTATATACATATGATCATCATTCTTTTCAAGACTTGATGGTGTTCAAGATATGAAACGTCGTGATGTTCTCTACGCAATCAAACATCCAAAATCAACAGAACAATTAGAACTTGAACGTTATTTAAATGATATTCATCAGCTCATTTATCCACAAATAAAAAATCGAACATTAGTTGTTTACACGGACCTTGCGATATTCTATCGAAAACGTTCGCCGCAAACAACAACTGAAAATAATAATAATTGCTGCTTTTGTGAAAAAGAAGATTTATTAGCTGGCTTACACGAATTCAAAATTCATCTCAATGCTGGGGTATGTTTATTTTCAAAAAAGACAATAAAAGAATATTTCGTTTGTTTGTTTGTTATTCACAGCATTTTTCTTCGCATCGCAACATATTGAAAGAAATGAAAATGGACAAGGAGATCAATGAATTTTTAACGTTGATATTTGGTAACTTGAACGAAATTCGATTTGGACAAGTGAGAAAGGTATAGTTCACTTTATACGACGCATTGTTTTAACAAGTTCTTGATAGGAATTTTCATTCACATCGACTCATCATAGAATTCCAAAGTCCTCTTCTCTAGCTAAACACGGTGCAAGTTGCCATAATGCGTTAGCTAAAGTTTGTTGACGCCTGATTAAAAGAATTTTAAAGGATAATTCTGGTTGTTTCTTGACATTGAATAGGGCGAAATTCTTAATTAAATATATATTATAATTGTTTCATAATTCTACTACTTTAGGCTTATTTACATCTTGATCCTATGAAAACTGGAAAAACCAGTTTGGATAAAATGAAGAAATTTTTAAATCTTTTTGGTCATCCGTATGCTGTACGGGGTAAGAAGATAATATATTAAGCATATTAGGCATATCATAAATATTGTTCTTTTTATTCAGGTACGATGACCGATGATAAAATTTGGGAAAAATTTTGTGATACATTTCGTTATTGTTTGGATTATCCACAGATAACTTATTCTGAATTTTTAAACTTGTATAAAACTCTAAGTGTGACAATTGATAGTGATGACGATTTTATACATTTGTTATGTAGGAGGGAAATAGTCATTTCTTTTATTTTTATAATTGTCGTTTTCCTAGTTGTAAGTTTTTACTGTTTTATGTTATTAATTAATTATTTGGCTATTTGGCGACATAGTGCCGCCAAACGGTTCTTGTAAAAAGATATGTGATTTGTTGGAACATGATAG